TTCAAACAAAGTCATAGTTTTCAAGCAGCATGGAAGGAAAATAAATAAATTTAAACTTATCCAATCTAAACTATAGGTTAAATGCTCCGAGCTAAGACATGTTAAAAATTTTCCAACCTTCACATTGTAACTTCAGGGGACACAACACTCAGATCTGAAATGAAAAAGCAAAAAAAAAAGGATCACAAGATCGATTCTTCTAAAGTCTAACTTGTTAGTTCCGCTCGCAACAATGCAATTAACACTTGACTCCAAATTCAGGGCATCTATTGCATCCTCTTCAAGTCTACTACTTCAACAGTCATTGCTCCATCAAGACTGCAAATGCGAGCAATAGTAACACTTTATTCTTTAAATTCGTTAACAGGATTACCAACTATGGCGCAGCAGCTTCCGTAGACTATCAACATCAGTCTCAGGAATAAGCTTATACTGATTCAGAAACAAAATTCTAACAAAAGTTTCAAATATACACAAACAAATCCAGATGCGCATGAGCATGTGCAAACACTGAGATATACATATAGATACATGTGGGTGGTACATCTAGTTCAAACTAATAAACCTTCAATGCAATACATATGTAATCTGTGGTTTTCTTTATTATTTTTTCTTTTTCTCTTGTTTCATTTTGTTAATCTTAACACAAAATGTCAGAGAAAAACCACCAAGGCTTTGCTCATGATAGCCTTATCATCATCAAATACAGACTGTTCTAAGTGTGTTTGGGTGCTGGTAAAAAGGACAAATGCTCACCAGGCCAAGTTCATAATTTCTTCATGAAATCTTCAATTTTCTCAGCTGCATGATACATATTCTTCTCTTTAACTTCATCTAAAAGCAAACGGCATGTCCGATATTTTGGTGTTATATCCTTCCTAATCATCTCTTCAAACAGGTTGTAAGCCCACTGACTTCTGTTTGCTCTACAAAGTCCATGAATCAGTAGTGAATAGGCTGAAATATCAAGACTAAGATGATGCTTATTAACCATATCATTCAATAGTTTGCTCAACAGACTATCTATCTTCCCAGTTTTAAAGCATGACTTCAGCAATGGATAATATGTCTGAACATCAGGCTTGCAAATTTTCGAATTCTCCATCTCCTGAAGAAGAGTGAGGGCCTTCTGTTGCTGAGCATGATGGCAAAGCATAGCAATCATGCAATTATATGTTGATGTATTGGGGGAAACGCCAATCTTTGGCATCTCTACCTCAAAAACTTCAGCAGCATCTTTCACTTGGCCAGCTCGCCCCAGTACATGGATCAAGCAGTTGTAGAAAAGCGTATCAGGTTTGCATCCGGCAGTTTTCAATCTCAAAGAAATTTGCAAAGCTTCCTCAAACATCTCCACCTTTAATAGCGAGGACATGACAGTGGTGTAAGTCACAGCATTGGGAGGACAACCTTGGGCAGCCATTTCATCAAGAAGTTCATAAACTTTATGAAAGTTGCACTGGCAACAATAAAACTGGATGATAGTCGTGTAGCTAATGACAGAGGGGTGATAACCATGTCCCCTCATCTCTTGAATTGTCCAATGTGCCTCATCAACACGATTAATATTGCACCAACCATGAATGAAAATATTAAATGTGTGAGAGTCAGGTGCAATGTGTGATTTAAGCAACAAGAAAATTTTACGGGCCTGTTCAATGTATTTCTCTTTGCAAAGGGTGTCGAGCAGCAAGTTCATTGAATCTGTGTTCTTCTCCAATCCAAAAGTTTCCAACTCATCAAATATCCTCACAGCATTTTCCCATTCCCTTGCACCAGCAAACCTTCTCATAACCTTGGCTATTGTGTTAAGTGTAACAAGATGACCTTGACGCATCTCCTCCAAGAAATCCTTCATACGATCCATTTGTTTCATTTTACCTAGGATGTCCACCATCAAATCATATGCCTGAGGAGAGGGTTTATAGCCTGGGCGAGATGCTGCCCATTTAAAAGCACCCAACGCAGATTTCCAGTCATCATTGAACCGGTGAAGCAACTTATCAACGAGGTCATGGGAAAGCTGTATAGCATTACATTCTCGGTCAATCATGAGACACTGAAAGACTTCTTCATGACCGCTTCCAACACGAACTTTACCTATGAGAACATCAATGTCATACTGTCCTACTACTTGGTGACCTGATGCACTGAAGTAAGAAGATTCAACAGGCGGAGCTAGCGTGAAACTTTCAGAGGAAGCATGGAAAAGGGCACGGGATATTGATGGTTGGGTAAGGAACTGAATACTCCTAAGGCAGCTTTGAAAATGGCCGATCATGAAGAAGTGCCCCAAACCCAAATTCAGTTGGGTCGTTAGAACTGCATCTCCAAAAAAAAAAAAAAAGCATTAGCTTCTCTTCTTTCCAATTCATTTTCAATAATAAATATAATAAAAGAACAGAAAATTCCATTTTTCCAAGTTTCCACATCAAATAAAATAAAAGAATATGAGAGAAAATGCAGAATGTAATTGAATATCCTTGCCTACCTGGTGGTGTATGCCAAAGATGAAAATTTTCGCGGCAAATATTTAACAATTTCGTTAAACCCCATTTTCACAAATTGATAGTCCACCTTCGTATCAAACGAGTTTATAAAATTAAGCAATTCTATTTGGCCAGGCTGAGTAAGGGTTTCACTTCTTTTAACATCTATGAGCAACCGAATAAAGCAAATATTAAAAAGGCTAAAAGCAGAATTGCTTATAAAGCTCTCAATACTTAACTAATACTACTAGTAAATTCAGCAAGTAGACTTGTAAACAGTCAGATTTCTTTTGTACCCATTTCATTTTGGTTGTGAGGGAGAAGAAGAAGAAGAAGTGCTCAAAGGCTTACCTGATTGGTTGAGTTTGGAAGTTATTCTGAAACAAAAACTAACCACCTTCCGCTCAACAACAGTGTCGCAAATTGAAAGACAGCTGGATAAGTTCCGGCGACGTCGGCCGATGCTCAAAGTTCTACTTGGATCCGGTTGAAGACGTCGAAGGACCCTGTCGATGAGGACGAAGTTGTATTGGGCTCAAGCCCGATTAGTCAACCAATTAAGCCCTTTCAACTTTTGATATTTCTTTCCCTCCATTGAGCTAATAATTTTTTAGTAGACTCAAATAAACCTTTAAATTATACAAAAAAATTTAAATAAATTTTTATTTTTTTATATTTAATTAAGTTTTTATATTTTATTTTGAGTCAAATAAGTTTTTATAACTAATGATTGACTAATTGTTATTAATCAAAATACTATTTATTATTTTAAATTCACATGATAACTATGCGAAATTAACATTTTATGTTATCATTAATTTTAATATATCAACATATTATATTATTATTGATTATAATATGTTAACATATCATATTAATAGTAGACGACATAAAATAATAAATAACATTTTGACCAAGTCAATTATTAATTATAAAATCTTATTTAATTCAAAATAAAAATAAAATAGCTTATTTAGGTCATTAGTTATAAGGGTTTATTTGGCTCTAAATAAAAATATAAGATTTTATTTGACTCAAAATAAAAGTATAAAGATTTAATTAAGTAAAATAAAAATATAAGGGTTTATTTGATTTTTTCTAAATATTTAAGGATATATTATGCCTTTTCATTAAAAATGTATTGTATATTAGATATTTTCATGACATTATTCTTCTTTAATTTGTTAATAAAAATTAATATAAAAAGTTTAATTAATCCACAAGGATTCTTCAAAAATTTGGGTAAGTAAAATTCAATAACATAAAAGCAAAATCTTAAATTTTTTTGTTTTTAGTAAAATTCAAAATTGGTACTATTTATAAAATTTTTTTTTTTTTATCGTTTATATACATATATTTTTAAAATAGATTTGTTTCATTTTGATTTATTATGTGATTGAAGATAATATAAATAACTTTGATGATAATATTTTAATTAAACTTAACTAAATCAAACAAGCTCAATCACTAATCTAAATTTAAATCTAAAATCTCTTAAATCTAGCAAAACACACTTAAAGAACAATTCCATGAAATTGAACCTCATAAAACCCTTTAAATTGACCATCTTTAATGAGATTATGTTCATCGCATATCCCAACCATGCAAGGGCGTGCATTTTGCTTGCACGTGTCCTATTCATTTTCCATCGTTAAACAAAGCAAATTACCAACAAAGACTTCAAAAAAATAGAAAAAAGAAAAAGGTGCTGAACCACTTGAAAATTGAATGAATGAATAATGGCACATTTTGCATTACAATGTTGGAATAAAATAAAATAAATTAACTTAATTTAAACACATTTAGTTACATGATAAATTAAGATAAGATTAGATAAATTCGCTTAATTTAGATATACTCAATTACATGATAAATTAACAAAAATTAATTTCAACACACGTTTAACATCATTTGAATTTTCAGATTAAACTTCCTCTTGGATCAGCCGTGGAGGATTAAATGATGATATATAACATTTAATAAAATGAACCCAAAATTGTCAAGAATGAATACGGTTATTTCAATTTCTTATGCCATTGTTGGTTATTGGTAATCTATATTTTCTTATAACTTTGAAGACAAACGAGAAATTTAACTAGAAATTACAGAATTTTGTTTAGGTATAGAATTTATTTTCTGTTCGGAAATGCTCATCATAAATTTGTGATATAGTTGTACTACCAAATTTAGTAAAGAATATTCTACTACAAGTATATTTTTCTATCCTCCGAGTCCAATATAATTTATCCTGTCCTTTTATTTACAACTTATTAAGTAACTTGTTTTATCCAAGAAAATGTTACAAAATATTAACCTGCTCAAATTTAATTGGGCAGCCAAACTGAGTGTTGCTACAGTAAAGGAGCGTAGCCAGAAGGCAGACCTGAACATTGGTCTGCAAAGCTCAGGCCATGCTTCTTAAGCCAGAAGTGTGCAAGAATGGGTTTAAGTAGATTAAAGACTAAACAAAGAAGTAAATCCAACACAAATACTACTAACTAGGAGGTAAAAAAGCAGCAAGAGAAAATATCTCATTGATGTATAGATACCATCTACTTTATAGTATTAAACTGATTGCGTTCTGATTAAAAGACTGATTGCTTTGACATTATAACGCAAAAATGAAAACAGCCAAGAAAGAAATCTTAGGTTTATTCCGAAGTGCAAGCAACTTTCAAACACCCTCTCTTTAAAAACCAGAACACAGAGTCCAATTGGCTTAACTTCAACAAGCTTGGGTGGATGCCATGTGAACAATCAAGTCAATCACACGACAACTGCAAAACAGGACAGAGCCAGGAGTGTCACATACCCAGAGCATTTAAAAGGACATAGATCCAAAGGAAAATATATAGCAAGGCTGCCGCATTACCTGTAACCCCATTCATTGTCATACCAGGAGACAAGTTTCACGAAATTCCTATTCAGAGCAATACCAGCCTTGGCATCAAATATGCTCGACCTGAACACAGCACAAAAAACAGATAAAGATCAACACTTGACAACGGCAAAATTTGTGAATTAGTATTACCAAATATTGTCTATCAAATTAATATAAAAAGCAAAACCTAGACACACACACAACAATTATAAATTACAACTTGTAGACAAACAAGAAAATCGTTTGAACTTGCCTGCTGTCACCAACAAAGTCTGTGGAGACAACATCTTCTTCAGTGTAACCTAAAATGCCCCTAAGCTTGCCCTCAGACTCCTCCCTGAAATCATCAGATCATAGATGAGAAATCAAATAATGCTAGAACGAAGAGTGTGGTACATAAATGGTACTAGTATAATCGGAAAGACTTACTTGATAGCAGCTTTGATCTCGTCATACGATGCAGACTTCTCAAGCCTAACGGTTAGGTCCACAACTGATACATCGACGGTGGGAACTCGGAAGGACATTCCAGTCAATTTACCATTGAGGGCAGGCAGAACTTTTCCAACAGCCTACATAACCACAATATAATCGAATACACATAAGAATGAGTTGAACTGCAGGATCTGTTAAACTAGCAAACCAAATTCCAAAACTATTGTCAAATAAGAAACAATTAATCAAATCAAATTGAACATATACCTTGGCAGCACCAGTGCTGCTTGGAATGATGTTGAAGGAAGCAGCTCTACCACCTCTCCAGTCCTTCATTGATGGTCCATCAACAGTCTTTTGTGTGGCTGTAACCCAGAATTTTTTTTTAAGAAAAGCATTAATGAACCAATTAATCCATTTAAAAGGAACAAAAAATAATGAAAAAAAAAAACTTACCAGTAATGGAGTGAACGGCAGACATGAGACCCTCTACAATTCCAAATCTGTCATTGATAACCTTGGCAAGGGGAGCAAGACAGTTGGTGGTGCAGCTAGCATTGGAAACAATGTCAAGCTCTGGCTTGTATTCCTTCTCGTTCACACCCACTACAAACATGGGCGCATCTTTGCTTGGAGCAGAGATGACAACCTTCTTAGCACCACCCTGCAAACAGACCACAACACGTCAACCTTCCATCTACTAACTAAAACAAAATCCCATAAAAATTAGTTTAAAGAAAACAAACCTTCAAGTGAGCAGCAGCCTTATCCTTGTCAGTGAACACTCCAGTTGACTCAACTACGAACTCAGCTCCAGTCTCGGCCCATGGAATCTCCTCAGGATTCCTAAACGATCACACAAAATACTTAAAACCAAAGAAACAAATATAAATGCAACTTAGAAATGGGATTTTTTTTAATAGAATTGTTCATCTTTACCTGATTCCGAAAACAGTGACGTGTTTCTCGCCAAAGAGAAGGGTTTTAGAGTCTTTGACCTTAACATCATGGTGCTTCCATTGACCGTGAACGCTGTCGTATTTGAACATGTACGTCTGCAAGCATTTTCCCCGCCAATAATTAAAAAACACAAAATCCTGATTAAGGGTTAAAAACTG